TATATATTATTACATGTATATTATTCGTATATATTATATTCATTTATATCTATTATGTTAGAATTATATATTATACTATTATTATTATTACATGTATTACGATGTGTTAATGATATGATTTTGCTGTGATAATGTTTTGATAAATCAAAGACTTTTTATGATTGTGATAAATTGATAATGATGTGATTTTGTTGTGATAAATCGAAGATCTCTTCTCCATATTACCTCCTTTAAAGTATTACCTCTTCTCCATATCAGACTATTTACATAAGTCACTACATCTAAGGAACCGTTTGCCAAACACTTATCCGGTAAGTGCTTTCCGGTAAAATTTGACACTATTATTTACTTATCGGGTAAAATTTTAGTTCATCAAAACGACATCATATGCGACAATTTACCCGGTAAGCGCTTACCGTGGTAAGAGTCGTCATTCTCACTTACCAGGTAAGACTCTTGGAGTCTTGGTTCTTGTCTCGCTCTTACCGGATAAGATTCTTGGTCTTTACCATATTCATCCAGTGAGGTAATGTTACTTGGTAAGCGCTTGCCCGAGTAATCATTTGATAAGCATTTGGTAAACGGCCCCCAAGTCTTTCCATTTTTGGAAAAGTTAAACGTACACAAGATAGAATACATTAACAAATTTAGAAGTCAATATTGTAATCTGATCTAAAACTCTTTAAACTTCTTTCATTCAGGTCAAGTTGCATCGATTGAAGACTCGATGTTTTATTTTTACAATCATATTAATCATTAGGGAAAAAAAATAAGAATTTGTTTACAATTAAATAAAAAAAAGTAAAAATAAAAATAAATTCAACGTATTAGCAAAATATTATATGTATCATTTTTATAATTATATAATAATCAGAAAAAGTATTGTTATATTACTAATAATTTATATTAGAAAAAAGTAATGTTTATATTAACTATATTAGAAACAAAATTATTAAAAATAATTTAATACAATTAAATAAAAACAAAAATGCAAAGAAGCAAAAAATGACCTTAAAAACAAATAATTAGGGAGTTGAATGCATTTAGCAATAACTAGGAGGGTATTCGCACAATACAGTGAGATACATTTCGATTTTAATGTTTCATTTTATTTTATGTCTCTGTCGATATAATATGATTTTGTGTGGTTTTAGAAAAGCGACAATATTTTTATTTTGAATAAAATATAAATTTAAAGATATCATAAAAATTTGAAAAAGATATATATTGATATCAGTATCAAATTAACTATTTTAAAAGTTCTATTTTCTTTGTGTAATTTATTTAATTCAAATTTTTTATTATAATTTAATTTAG